GAGTCTTCCTCTAAGGGCTGATAGATGACCAGGCTCCGCCCCTCTCTCTGCCAGCTCCATTCCCTCTTCAGCTCTCAGGTTGCCCTAGTGCCGACCTTGATTCCCCCCTCCTCCTCCTCTGATTCGGGTGCTGGAAGGGCTGGCGGCCGACAGGCCACAACACAAGACATTCTCGATTGCAAACCCTTCGGGCTCCGGGTTTCAGACCTGGGCGGCCTTTGCCCACCAAACCCTCCCTGGTTCAAAGAAAGAAAGAAAGAAAGAAAAAAACAACCCGTGGGTGGGGAGGGAGGAAGGATTTGCAAATGGGATTGTCGGGTAGGCCGAGATGCAGGCGCTATCTGCCATGTTTCGGAACCCGCTAAGAGGATTCCGTTGCTAAACGGTGCAGCGCTAAGGCGGCATTTCAGAGCGGAAGCTGGCAAAGGCGCATGTCGCGGAAAGCATATTAATAACAAAAGCGCAGAGGTTAAAAATGGAACTGGGGATGCATTGAATTTTAATGAGCTTATGGGCTGTGGGCTTTGTTTGGATTTAAAAGGGCTTTCTCTAATGGTTTTATTTACACTTGGGGCTCACCAGCCTCTCCCCCCCCCACCCCTTTTCCTCCCAAGTGCAGAAGAGGGAGGTGGGGGGGGGGCTTTTCAAAACCTGTCAAAGTGCAGATGACCAGTGGGGGCGAGAGAGCCCAGGCGTCTCCTGGCGCCTCTTCAAAAGCGCGGCTGCCTCCCCTTCCATCGTGCAACTGGCCGAATTCCAGAGGAACGGAGGAGAGGACTTTTCAGCAGCTCCTCGTTTGAAGGGGAGGCAAATGAAAGGGGTTGGGAGCCCCTCTCTCCTCCTCTTAATCCTCCGCTCGGTGCCCACCGGCATGTGTGTCGAGGGGAGATTAGACTCCAGAGCTGATTGCCGTTTTGCCTCTCTCTTTCTTTCTCTCTCTCTTTCTCTCTCTCTCCCTCCCTCCCTCCTCCTGCAGGCCTCTTTTAAACTAAGCCTCCTTCTGAAGTGTAGGGGGCTCCTGTTGCTGCTCTTTTTAAAAGGATATCAAAGGCTAGAAAGTGGGGTGGCATTCGCCCTAGGCCCCTGATGGCCCTTCTGTGGCTTCTCTTGGGGCCATCTGGAGTCTGCTGGACTGGGCGCAACCCCCCCCGCCCAGTCCTTGGGACCCCCCTTCATTCTCCCTCCTGCTTGCTTGGCCTCGGGGGGGGGAGGAGGGGGGCTACAGGCCATGGAGAACCCCGAGGTGGTCTGGATGAGTGTTCTTGCATCGCCTGGCCGTGCCAGGCTGGTAGGACCATCCCTGATCTTAACTTCGCAGAAAGTCCTGGGTTCAAGGTTGCCTATAGCATTAGCATAGCAATAGCCCCATGACATATACTGCTTCACAGCCCTCTCTAACCGGTTTACAGAGTCAGCCTCTTGCCCCCAACAATCTGGGTCCTCGTTTTACCGACTTTGGAAGGACGGAAGGCTGAGTCAATCTCGAGCCAGTCAGAATCAAACTGCTGGCAGTGGGGCAGAGCTATCCTGCAATACTGCATTCTAACCACTGGGAGGGAAGGAAGGAAAGGAAGAAGGGAGGGAGAGAAGGAAAGGAAGGAAGGAAGGAAGGACTGAGATTTATATACCGCTTCACAGTGCTTTTACAGCCCTCTCTAGCGGTTTACAGAGTCAGCCTTTTGTCCCCAACAATCTTGGTCCTCGT